AAAGAGCTACATCTGAGAGTTTCCATTGTTTTACTCTTTGTTCTTTGAAACCCTAGGGTTATCTTACTCTCAAGTTTACAAGTGTTACTTTGGACATTTATTTCTTTGTCATGATCATTTTGTGATCCCTCAAATCATATACACATACATACATATCTATGCATGTGTGTGTGTGTGTGTGTGTGTGTATACACATTTTTTAACCTATTAGAACTAGACGTAAGGGCCCTCCCTGGTGGTGCAGCGGGTTAAAGCACAGCACTGAGAAGCTAACGCCACTTCAGCATGAGTTCAATCCCCGGCCCAGAGGTGCTCCACATGGCACAGCAGACCTCTCCCAACCCACCTGCTGCTCCCCTCAGCAGTACACTTCGTCAGTCAGCCTGTTCTGCTTCCCACTGTCTCTGGTGAATTCTCACACTGCCCCTGCACCCCTGGCCTGTACCCCAGCTCTGTATGCATAAATAAATAAAATTTTTTTAAAAATAGACAAAAATCTTCAGGGATAAAGAGATTTAAGAGTTTCCACAAACATTCAGAGGATCATTCTGGATGGTCAAAACTGCTTAACCATGGTTGATAACCCTCTGTCCTGCAAGCAGTGGTTCTCATGTCTGCCCACATAACAAAACCAGCTAGGATGCTTATAAAATATATCCATGCCCAGGCACCAAGAGATTCTGATTTAATTGGTCTGAGAGGGATCCTGGGCATCATTTTTTTTTTAACTTCCCCAGGCAATCCAAACGTGTCACATCTTGGAGAATCACTGGGCCGGAGCAAACATGACTTTTTACCCAGGAGTAAGCAAAATAAATGACAGGTTGTTCAGAAGGGTGAGAAATCCCTCAACCTTTATAGTGGTTCCACACAGAGAAAGATTGTAGCTTTCCCTGTCACGTTCTCTACTTGCCCTTGACTGTTGGCCACAGGGTTTCCAAGCACTGTGAGATGACTCAGAGATCTCAGCTCAGAGGGGAGAGGTAAGAAATGCCCATGGACACATTCTGGCCAGACAGGTCCTCATCCACAGCTTCCCAATAGCAAGCAACAAATGATGTGGTTCCATTACATAGCTGCAAGCAAGAGACTTTATAGTCAGTGGTCAAAAGGAAGAAAAAGAAAACTACTATTTTCAGCATCAGCAGTGAGGAAGGGATGATCCTCTCTCTCTAGAACAGGCAGGAAGAGAAAGTTATCTGGCTCCCAGGGGAGAGCTGGGCTGGGGGCCACTGTGCTGGAGGGGAAGTGAAAAGAACTCCCACCGAAAAGCAACTTCATGCCATTCATGGGTGGTCTCCCCAGCCAGGAGAGAAGTGGTCAAGAAGCAAAAGGTCCTTTACACCAGCCCTCTGTGCAGCTGAGGACAATCTTTGAGCTTAGAATGTAAGTGGATGCCCCTAGAGCCTGGATAGGTGGTGGTGATCTGTGTGTGTGTGTGTATGTATGTGTGTGTTTTCTAAGGGAAAGGACTTTTTTTTTATTCATATGGATCTGGGGTACAGGGCAGAGATGCAGAGGGTGAGAGGATTCACCAGGGACAGAGCATGGAACAAAACTGGCAGATCGACCAAGTACACTGCTGAGGGGAGCAGCGGGCGGGTCAGGAGAGGTCTGCTGTTCCGTGTGGAATCACCTCTGGGGCAGGCGATCGAACTCATGTGGAAGTGGCTTAAGCTTCTTAGTGCAGTGCTTTAACCTGCTGCGCCACCAGGGAGGGCCGGACTTTTGTTTTTATCAACATCCTAAAGATAAAGGTGACGACTGGCCCTGAACAACTTCTGCTTTAAACTGAATAGCTAGCTGTCACTTGAAAGCCCTGCCCTGTCAGATTTGCCTATCTCGAGGTAGAGAACTGGGCACAGCCAATAACAGAATGACACTGGTCTTCTGCGCTCGGTTGTGGGGATGTAGCTTCTCCATGTTAGACTGTCACCAGCTTTTCCTGTAGCTATGCACTTTAGCTCCCTGTCCAAACGAAGGACTCTCTTGGTTTCCCTAAATCTGTTTTTCTTTTCTGCCCTGGTGCACACAACACAGACCTGAACCCATTTTCTTTCTCTATTCAAGTCTGTTACCGTTAGCCTCGGTCTCCTAATTTCAGTAACCATGATGTGAGTGTTATGAGGTCTTTCCCAGGCTTCTGGATCCACGCTGATTTGTCACCTGCAGGGTTCTGGGCTGCTCTTCTTGAGTGGCTGACAAAGGGGTAGGGCCCAGGCCAGCTTTTCCTCCCTGGGAGTGGAGTCCTGTCCTTATCTATTAATCAGTACATCTTTTTGAAAGTCCATAAGGAGAATATATTGTTTTAGAGAAAACCATCAGCACTGACTTTGTATATTGATATTATACTAAAACAAATTGAGAGACAACTATCTATTTTTAAATGTGGGGGGAAAAGAACCCTAATGACTTTCACTTATAAGCTGCTGATACATGTGCTTACTTTTCCCCTGGCACAGTAATGGGGCATGGATCATTAAGTGGGTCAGTTGCCTGTCGTTTCAAAAATGAACACCATTCAGGTGTGTTAGTTTTCAAAGTTTGCTGACCCTGTGTAGGCTGTCTGCTTTCAATTTAGGGAAAAAAAAAATCATTAGAGGGGATTGTTGACCTAGACAGGGGAATCAGGAAGAGAAGAGAAGCCTTTCAGGCCAGAGCCCTCTGTGTCCTTTATAATCAACAGAGAGAACTTCAGCCAGCCAATCTACCTCTCTGAGCACTGGATACTGGTTTTCAACTTTTTTTCTTGAAGCAGCAACTTTGTTTTTTTTTCTCCCAAATGAAGCCTACAGGTTAAGGATACAATGGCTAAAGGTGTCAACTCTATGTGACTTGGAATAGTGACCATGATGTAGTACACACAGAAGCTTAGTTTCAATACTGTGCGCCCAAAACTTATATTAATAAATTATAAACCAGTGTGACCACAATAAAGATGTATATAAAACCTATGGGGGGGGGGCTCCCTGGTGGCGCCGGGGTTAAAGTACAGCACAAGGAAGCTGAAGTCACTTCAGCATGAGTTCGATCCTCGCCCTGGAGGTGATCTACATGGCGAGGCAGACCTCTCCTGACCTGCCCACTGTTCACCTCAGCAGTGTACTTAGTCAGTCCACCAGTCAGTCCACCTGTTCTGCTCCCCACTCTGTGTCTGGTGAATCCTCTCACTGTCTCTGCACCTCTGGCTTGTACCCCAGTTCTGTATGCATAAATAAATACATCTTTTTTTAAAAAAGAAACTACTAGGAAGGCCAAACTGTAAACATTGTAAACGAAAGTGCCTCCCAAGGCTGTCTTTTAAGTATCCTTACTGATACCTAGGGGATTCTTGATTATCTATGATCTATGACATTTTAAGAATGAGGCAGGGCTGGCAAGTGCCCCCATCCGCTCTCACAGCATGGGAAGGAGTGTCCAGAATGACACCCACATGGCAAGTGGCAACAGGAGCATTCCCAATGAACCTGAATGTTCACTCACCTCAAGTCCCTGCAAAAACAGGTGGAGGGAAACATTTCACTCTGGACTTCCCAAGGTATGCTTAGATGCATACTTCTCACATTCAGAAAAGTTCGATTCAATTTATCATTATTTCAAATCTACCTTTGCAGATCGTTGGATATTTGCTGGGGGGGGAGGGGAAAGAAAACAATGTAGAAGACTATAACTGGGTTTGAGGCTAAAAGGATTAACTGAATTGACTGAGTTTTGCCACAGTTTTGAAAAAGGCAGCTTTGAAATCTGTGGTCCCCCAGGTTCTGAAATAACAAGCCATTTGTCCCTACTGATACAGCACACTCTGAACTCTAGAACACTGCAGGAACATCACACACTGCAAATTACTAGGCAGTCCTGGGTCTTTAAAAAAAAAAATGGAATTGAAACAAAAGCACTGTACTGTTTTTTGAGATGCACATTTGATACGAGCTAATCAAATAGTTTTTGAGATTATTTTCCTGGAGGCAGAGTTATTCTGCACAGTTAGACAGCCCGTCAGCTTCCTTCTATGTCATACAGATCTATGGATAAACACCCTGCCCATATAGTGGATTATTTTCTCTCACTGAAGTTCCAGAAGACAAGGCCTTTTTGTCAGGGTAAGTGCAGGGCCAGTCAACCTTACAAAAGGATCATTTAATGCTCAATTCCCTCAAGTTTCCTATGATTAAAAACTTTTAGCCTCAAACTCAGTTATAGTGTTTGAAATTGTTTTCCTTCCCCTTCCCCCCGCAAATGTTTAAGTTGCATCTACTCCGCTGGAGTGTACCTCCCCACTTTCCTCCCCCCAACCTGACCTTGAAAACAGAGCTGCTCTCCTTTTCTTTTACATACCCTAAACTATTTTAAAAATCGGGGCCCTCTGACCTTGTTATAACATTCTTCTTGTCCGACAGCCAAATGCTAATCTGAAAGCCGAGAGGAGGTAAAGGGTCTGGGGGGTTGGGAAGGGGAGGGAGGGAGGTACTATATATTTGGCGTCCGTTCAGAAATTCAGAAAATGTTTGTGCAACCACTCCCCCAGCCAGGATCCACCGCACCCCCTGCCTTCCAGCGCATTAATAAAAAAGATGTGAGCAGATGAAATTGGAGAGCCCGGAGGGACACCTAAGGCGGTCATGATTATGTACCCAAGGAAGCCCTGCTCACCCTCCCACAGGTCCAGCCAATAGCCAATATCCAAAATTCAGGGTCCCTCCCCCCTAACAGCCAAAGTTTAGGATCCCGACCTCTCGAGTTCCCACCCCCATTAAACTTGCGGCAAAGCCGCCCATTAACGGCTTGGGCGACCCACGGAAGGGCTGACACACGTAGAGGTGGCACCGCTGTGCACCTTAGGAATCAAGTGTGTGCTGTTACAAAAGTATAGTGCGCTCGCAGGCCTGGAGTGCATTAACTTGTGAACTGGATGTAACACACCCCTAGAGAATCCGTCTCTCGCTCAAACAAAAAGAAAGGGGATGGGGGTGGGGTGGGGAGAAGAGACCAAAGCACATTACCATCCTGTCCGGAGCTTTCCAGATACTCGGTCAGGTCACATCCAAAGGCACTGGCGGCTCCCTTTCGTTTCAGCTTCTGCTTGGCACCCTTGTTCTTCATGAGTTAGTCCCAAAGAGGTCGCCCCTCTGTCTCCTCCTCCCCTCTGCTAGGCACCGCGCCGAAGATGGTCTCCCGGGTTAGCTCACTGGCTGCAGCGCACCTCGGGGGGGCTGCATGGGTGTCCAGAAGAACTTGGGCCCGGGGCAGTGCGCATGGACCCCGCGGGGCGCTGAGCCCGGCGCGGGCGCGGAGCCTGAACTCCACGGCGCTCTCCTCCAGGGCCGCGGTGCCGGAGGCCGTGCGGAGCTGGCAGCTGCGGGCGGCTCGCTTGGGAGTGTCACTTCCTCACTTGGGAGTCCCAGGGACTTTCACAGGCTCCTGCGGCGTCTTCGGTGTTTTCCTCGGCTGCAGAGGGAGGGAGAGCTCTCCTTTCTGCCTTTCCAGACGCCCCGGCGCGAGCGAGAGCGCTGGGAGCCCGGCGGCGGCGAGGGGCGAGCGGACAGCCCAGGGGGCTGCTGTGGGTCTTTTCCCTGCGCCCGCTGTCTTGCCTTCAGACGGCTTTGGTAAAGCGAAAAACAAGCATCCTGTCTCTCCCGCCCGCCCTCACGCCTTCCTTTTTTTCCTGTCTTACAAATCCTAGGATCATCCAGCTCAGGAAATGCTGGAAGGAAGTTAGCTAGGGAGGGGGGCGGAGGGTGGAAATTTTTGGCAGCTCTGTGCTGGTGTGTGTATGGAGCCGGAGGAAGTAGGTGGGTGGGTTGAGAAGTGCGGGGTGGGGGAGAGAAGGCGCTCTTGGGAGAGTTGTTCTGAGACTCTAGAGATAACTGGGCAGCTCGGGAGGAAATCGCGGCTCTCCTGGGGGGCAGGGATGGGGGGTGGGGGGGGGGGGGAACCTACTGCCCCAGCCTCCCGCTTCCTGCCCCACCGAGAGCTCTTTGAAGAGGCTGGAGGAGGCCACTGCTTTGGGGATGAAGGGTGCTAGGTGGGACTGAAAAAAAAAAAAAATACTGCCTTGCTTTTATCCTCATTGTCATCGGCTCTTTGACACTTTCTATTTCGGTGCCTGTCTTGTACTACACAAACACTTGAAGAGTAGTGACAGAAACAAAGACAGGGATTCCAACTGAGAAATCTGGCGGGGAGCGATTCTACTCCCACCACTCTCCACCTCTCCAGTTTGTGGGAAGCCGGGTTCCCCCCAACCCCCAACCGAGATAGAAGCAGCCTCTTTGGAATCAATGCCCTGGAAATCAGATTTCTGGTTACAGACTCTAGTACACACACACACACACACACACACACACACACACTCAATATTGAGAAGTTTGCTGAATGGAAATAAATTTTGGGGGGTGAATCCACGAATTGAAATGATTTGTTATTCTACTGTAGCAGAGTGAAAGGGGTGTCCCAGAATGTTCATGACTTGCTTCAAATTTTCAAGAGAGCGTGTTTTCCCTCCTCAGTTAGATTTGAAATTCCTTGACTTCTTCGTACTCAGCACACAATAAGCACGCAAATTCTTGTGATTTAACCATCTGAGGAATAGATTATACTTCCTGTAAAATTCAAATCAATATGTAAGCTGGAGAATAAGGGCATTTCGGCAGCTCAAAATCGCTGGCAAAAACTTTATGTATGGTATTTTAATTTCTGAATCCCTGTATCATCATTTATCACCCTCTGCATTACTGTGATTTATGAGCTGCGACCTTGACCTTCTTTCTTTGTCAGAGGTCACAGCTGATGGCCTGCGCCTGCTGAATCTGGCCCACAGTTGTGTTGGTTTGACATAAGCCATGCTTTCATTATTTTTTTAATAAAATAGTAGTTTATTTTTACATCATTTGGTGCCTTTTTTCCATCTCAGTTGTAATCTCCGCTTTAAATTATTTTTAAAAGTAATTGCCAACATTACAGTGTTAAGAGATTTCTCATAAGAGATCTGGATGTCTGGCTTCTCTTGAAAAAATGGAAGATCTAGTAACACTGCAAGTGCTTTTCCAAACGGGAAGCTGGAAGAGTTGTTGTGGCAGCCCTCCCCACCCCTTGTGGAAAAGAGGCAGTCTCCGACCACCCAGCCCCCTTAGCCTGTCTTCCCTCATTTGCACCTGTCAGGCCTCCGAAGCCACTTGAGTTTGTGGCCCATGCTCTGTGCGTGGTGTCCCCTTCCTTCCATTTTTAGTCTGTCTCTCAGTGACACCAACATTGCCCCAGTCATCTTGGCTAGACATCCTCAAGTAACCACTGACTCATTTCTCTCCTTCCTTCCACACCTCCAGGCTAGCCCCGCCCAGCCTGATGAGTCCTTCAAAGGCCTTCCTTTGGGGTTCCTTTCCAGGGTGCTCCAGTGAGGATCATTCACTCAGTTTTTAGACTAACACCTACAGGGGCTTGCTGAGTCCATTTCTTGCCACTTTCCCTTCTTTGTGCTGAAGCCCTGATCAAACTTTGTGAAGATCTGCTGTTACCAAAGGCTTGCTTACTCAAAACTCCTTTCTTATTGCCAGGATAGCAATTTCTGAGTTACTTGGTGAATACTCAGCAGGGTATTTAATAGACTGGCTCTCTCCATTTGCAGAGAAGGATCTCCATGTGAGACTATAATTATTACTATGAACATGAAGAGTTTACTTTGGCAGCAGCATTCATATTTGTCATTTCATCTGACTTACAGTGAATTTCACCACTCTGTCACCAAATGAGAGACTGAAAGAGCACCTTTTTCTGGGGTTCAAGCTCTCAGGGCACACATTATGGATAAATTGTCAGCCTTGCGCATTACCTTTTTAAATCCTTAAAACGATTACTTTAAAATTTTCATTTTGACTAATGACAGCTTTAAAAATTCTCAAAAACAGTCAAAGAATTCCTGCTAGACGCTCCTAGCTTTTCCAAATATTGATACTTTATGCAATCAGAGTATTATAACAACCAAAACCTAGGAAAATTATGTTGATATTAAGAAATCAATAGGCCTAACTCAAATATGAATTAATATTTGAGTACATAAAAATTTTTATCAAATATGATCTTCCTTGTAATAAAGCCCACCAGATAATGTGAAAAAAATAATTTACATGTTATTCTCAAAACACTACACAGTCTAACAGTAACTGTGTACCAGACCCCTTAACCATCATCAAACCCAGGAGGTGAAATCCGCCACCTAGCTGAATCAAAAAAACAAGTGACACAACCCTGAGATTTTTCTATGCTTTACTGAGAATCCCTCAGATTCTCAACAATTACAGAAATTTCCAGCTATTATAGCCTGAGATCTCCTGGTCCCCACATCATGATAATTTGGGTTCAGGTTTCTTTAGGCTTCAGGATCCAGGTAATAGTGAGCACCTAACGGGCATTCGTTATGCCTGGAGAAGTTGAACAAAACTTATTTAAAATCTGTACATGGTGTTGTGTTTTTTTTTTTTTTTAGCCTGTTTGATAGTTCTCAATTATTGACACCTGAAGGTGGGAAGGACTCACTTTATCAGGCCAAATAATGAAGATTCCTGGTGACAGCCTGCCTCAGGCTAGAAAACTGTCTTCTTCCCTATTTGCTCCTTGCCCCTTCTCATTGCTGAGCATGCACTGTGATAGGTGCTGAACTTAAATCTAGCCTTTTTTTTTTTTAAAGATTTATTTATTTATGCCTATAGAACTGGGGTACAGGGGCAGTGAAAGGCTTCACCAGAGACACAGTAGGGAGCAGAACAGGCAGATCAGTGAAACACACTGCTGAGGGGAGCAGCAGGCGGGTCAGGAGAGGCTGCCATGCCATGCCATGTGGTCACCTTGGGGTGTGGGGATCGAACTCATGCTGAAATGGCTTTAGCTTCTTAGTGCTGCGTTTTAACCCGTTGCTTCACCAGGGAGGGCCACATCTAGCCTTTTTTTTGGATCTTTTTTTCTATTTCTCTTTCTCTACTTACCTTTGTCCCTTTCCATTTTTCTCTTCTTACTTTCTCTAAGATGTTTACTTTTTCTGGATGGTACCTTTTTTTTTGTGGAAGAAAATCTGATTTAGGCCCCAAAGAGTTTTTCCACTAGGCCACAGATTTCTGAGGAAACAGGTTTTGTGGAACTAGTGCAGGAATATTATCAGGAAGACTAATGGTGATGACACCAATTACCCCTTTAACAGACTGTCAATATGCAAATTTTTGTAAAAGCACTTTGTTCAATACCTCAACATGATAAAAGCCATCTATGATAAGCCCACAGCCAATATTATCCTCAAC